TCTGTCCCTCCTTAGTCTGGGATCTGACAGTCCTGTTCGGAAGTTTCCATCCTTGTCTTTTGGGGATTTTTGTGGGCAGATTTCTGAAAGAACTTTCCATTGGGTGGAGCAGGATTACTGCACAGATGATAGTACATAGGAATTGCAGATCCCCACAGCTTTTGGTTCATACTGGGATCCAAAAATTCACTAATTTCCCTTTCTAAGGGGAAGTTCTTAAGGCAACTCTTCCACTGAAGTGTCTGACTTCGCCCTTATCTCATTCAGTCTTGCACCCTATACACAAATTGAGATTCAGGGTCTGGTGTTGGTGTGGTCTGGTGTGAACAGCCTTTAATACTTGAAGATCTGAATGACTATTTTGCCAGCATGTGACTCAAGAGGACTTGCAAAGGGGAGGGGAGTCCTGGTGGGCAGTCACTCCTGGCCTGTCATGCACTTCACATCTCTGCTTCCCTTACAGTCTGCCCAGAAGTGATTGCTGAGGTACTTGAATGACTACCACAACCTGCATGGGAGGCAGCAGCTTTGGCATGTGAGCTTTGCCACCTGATGCCTAGTCTGTATTGAGACAGTGCCAGCTGAGTGTAATCCTCAGCTATACAGCCTCCTGTCAGCAGGTTATCTGATTGGATTGCTGCCTTGTGTTCTGATGATCTTCCTCATTTCTTCTCCCCTTTTACTCACTGAGTGCCTAGCGACACAGCTAGTCCTCTGCAGCCATTTAGAAATGTTTTGTGGGAGCTGCAAGAAGGTCCTGCACTTAGGTATGTACTGAGAGAGATGAACCTGTTCATTCCTTAGAAAGCAACTGAACAACATGAGGAATCCCACATCTCCTCCACTTCCCCATTCCTGACAGCAAGATCTCCTGCCAGCACCAATTCCCTGCCTTTGGGGTCACTCAGCCTCCCCCTCTGACTAACACTGAAACTACAGTACAAAGCTCCCAGTGCATCTGAGGTTCTGCTGCAGGGTTCCCTTGCTTTCTTGCTGGCACAGTTTCATCTAAGCATTAACCAAAAAAAGAAGAAAAAAAAAAAAAAGGAAAGAGAGAATGTGTTAATTACGTTGTTACCTAAAACAAGCTGCTTGACTTGAGCAAGCGTTTCCCATCTCCCAGCGTGCCCTTATTGCCTGTGTACTCCTAGGAGTTTGCTGCATGTGCATATTCCAGTGAGGACATCTGTCCACTCTTGTACTCCCCGAGACTCCTGTAACATCTTATGTTAAGAAAGCCATCAGTCACATTAATTTGGGTGGAGTTTGCACAGAAAGCTGCTGGTTCTCCCAGTTTCTGGAAAAGACTCTGTTGAGAAAAGTGCTGAAGGGAACATACCCTCTTACCAGCATGGAGAAAAAGTACCTCTCAGCAATGCTGTCTGCATAGTGAAGGGAATAATCTGATTTTCATAACAGGCCTTCATCCCGCTTTGCTTTTGCAGGGACTGGGGATCTCAGGTGGCTGCTTCAGCATGGTGCATACAGCAGAAGGAGATGGGCTGAGGGGAGGTCAGCCTGGGCTGTGCAGTATCCTTACATGCAGAGGTTTGGGTGACACATACACTGTCTAATGAACACCAGTAGAACTCCTCAGGTGGCAACAGGGATGCTGCACGTTTGCAGTATACGTCACAGCCCCAAAGGCTGATGAGCAGCCAGCACAGTGCTGCTGTTTGTTAAAACAAATTCCTGTTTTTCTACTTCTGCTGTTTGAAAAGTCAGCAACTTTTCTGCTCTGACTTTGTGAGTCACTCCGAGCTTGAAAAGAGCTGTCTTAAACCTAAAGAAAAAGACCTTCCTGGTAGTTACCTTGCTGAGACTTGAACCTTTGTGTCAGGACAGGCTCCAAGAAAACCAGCGTCTTTTGAGCAGGGCTCTAGATTTATGGTTTGCTTTCCCCCCCATCCTTGCCACTCCCCATAGATATCCCATGCCTGGAGAGCGGAGGGAGGAGAAAGCTCAGACCTGTGCTGCTGGGAGGGCAGTGGGTGCCCCATGTGCTCTATCATGGAAGTGAGACTCGAGCTACTCAAAGCCTCGGGTGCCCCCAGGAGCGTGGGCCGTTGGGACCGGGTCATACTCAGGTCAGGCAGCAGTAAGCCCACGCCAGCTCCTCAGCAAATGCTATGCTGCTTTGTCAGATGAATCTGCTCTTGCTTGGTTTCTGCTGTAAGATAATCCTTGTTTAAGTTTCTGCAGGCCCCTGGGCCGCCTGGATCTTGGCAGCACATTGGCACTCAATAAATCCGTTTGGGCAGGATTTCCACATGTATGTGCAGTGCCTAGAGCAGCTTCTTCACTGTGCTGTGACAGGCACTGTCACGTGTCTGGCTGTGTACTTCTGTGCTGAACCAGAACCACCAAGATAATTCTTCATGGATGGGTGTGCTTGCAGATGAAGGCTGGTAAATGCCATGCATGTCAGCTTAGAGGTGATGTTGACTGCACTCAGCGTTTCTGAGGATGGCTGACATTTTGTGAGCATTCTGTAGCACGTGTGTCAGCGACCATTCCTTGCACTACTGAACAAAGAGCAAAATCTCTGTAATTTCTTCAAAAACTCCCACAAAGAGCATGAAAGCATTTTTCCTAAGAAGCTTCCAGTGCCTAAGATCTACATGGAAAAGGAAGTTACCTACAGCTCCAGAGGTCAGAGGTTTTGCTTGTTTTCATTTGGTAAGTACGTTGTAGTTCGTTAGCTGAGCAGGGAGACAAATCTTGGTAGAGCCATCCAGTCTTGAAACAAGTAGGCAGACACACACTGCTTTCCAAAATCCATGAAGACTGTCGCCTCCCAGATTCGCTTTCATGACCAATTTGTGCAAAAGTCAACAAGACTGAGAACAGTAATATCATTATTTAAGCTGGTATTTTGCAACAAAAAATACCTTTCCTAGGGAGGGTATGTCTTTTTTTAGTGTTGTTTTGGTACATCTGGCTTTCTCTCCCATTTGAAACATTAGGCTGGAAAAAGAATGCTGTGCTGTTTAAGTCAGTTGTCAAAGTAGAGAAATTTCTCTGCAGACTAAATTCACATTTTTGTGCTATATAACACTAATGAGATATTCCTTTCTGATTTTCCACTTGATTAAAAATGTTGGTGTTTATCTCAGGATCAGTTTGGCATGCCTTGAATTCTATGTTCATGCTGTCTGCACAGACAAGTTTTGGGTCAAAAGTGTGTCCTGCTGGTCTCAGCTGTTAATCTGTTGAAAAATCATTCTGCTCTTTGCTTTTTTAGGAGGCCTGTCTTCTGTAGAGACACAGATAAATTACACTGATTCCTTCTGAGTCACCCAGCAGCAATGGCAAAGCTAGGAGAAAAAAATGGGAGGGGAAAGAGGACTGATGAATGGGTGGCAAACCAAAGATCACAGAATCACAGAATTGTAGGGGTTGGAAGGGACCCCCAGAGATCATGGAGTCCAACCCCCCTGCCAAAGCAGGTTCCCTACAGCAGGTTTAGATCAGATCAGATGTAAAGTACATACTTCAAGCACAAGTTCCCAAAAATGAATACTCAGTTATTTTCTTTGGGTATCCCAGCACTGGGGGGAACATGGTTTCACCAAGCCAGGTTTGAATAAATGAGTTAATGAAGTTACACACCACTGCCAGTCACACAGGCTGTGACTTGCCAGGCCTGAGCACTAAGATATTCCTGGATAAAATAATTATGAAATCAGGAATTGAGACAAAACATTATTTGTTAAATTATCTCTCCTTCCAGTGCAATCACAGCATTGGCTCTCCAGCCTTTCGCATCATCTAGGCAGAAAACCTGCAGCTTCCAGATACTTCCAAATCCCTTCTCTTCACCCTGCCCTGGAAACATTGATGGCTCCCATATGAACAAACACAAAAAAAATGGTCATCTACTAAATCTGTTGCTGATCTCAGCTAACCAACTTCCTGTAATATCAGCAAATATTTCTGCTTTTGTAAATCTGTGCTTCCCTCCATAATGTGGTGCCAGCAGGACCAGGAATGCTTTGAATCTAGAAATGTGCTGGTTGGCAGGAAGAACAAAGAACGTGCTCACCCAGAAGGGCAAAAAAGGGCTGATGCTTTTGTCCTCTTGGGAGAAATGGCACAGAACTCAGTGCCAACAGTTTTTGCATGCAATCAGAAAGATGCTGTTGGATGTTCCTTTGAATAGCCCACATTAATATCAGTCATTCATGAGAAATGTCTTAGATAACTCAAATCAAAGCAGATCCTGAAACACTCAGTAATGTCAGGCTCTTCATGGACTCATCAGGGCAGCTGCTGTTTTTCCCAGCCGTCTGGAAACAGGCCAGCTATGACATGTAGCTGATATTAGCTAGCTGTTGGCTGTATTTCACTCTGCTGCTCTAGGCAACTTGATAAAGGCTTCTTCCTCCCGCTGCAGAGCTCACCCACCCAAATCATAGCTGAACACCTGTGTGCAACACCGCTCCACTTGCTCGGGGTGATGCCTGATGCTAACATTTGCTTACTGGGGTGTTTTGTACAAAGGAATGCTCAAACTGGCTTCTGGAACGCAGTAGTAATGCTAGAACTGCCTGATGTACATCTCCGTGTAGATCTGGAGGCAGCTCAGCCCCATCTTCATCACATGGAGACGCACAGATGCATTTAACGGGAAACCTCTCACATCACTCAGCGCAGGGAGGTGGCGGGGGTGCAGGGCATCCTTTTCCTTTGTAGGAAAGTGAAAAAGCACAAGCACGCTCAGGTGAGAGTACCGTTACTCTGTACGGTGCCCGTACAGAGAGCCCGTTCCCGCAGCACGGTAGCACACTCGGTCAGTCGCCGGAGAAAACCCCGCAACACAGACAGCTGCGTACGCGGGGACCGAGCCCCGAGAGCCCTTCGGAAGCCCTGAAGCGGGAAGGCGCTTATCGCAGACGCCCTGACGACGCGCGGCTCCGCGCCAGGCCGCGCAGTACGGCGGCGCCGCCATGTTGAGGGCGGGGAGCGCGGGGGCGGCGCCGGGGCCGCCGCGGGGCGCAGCGCCTCCGTCCGCTCCTCGCTGCCGCTCAGCAGCCTGCCCGGCGGGCCGCGCCGCTCCATGGCGACCCACAGCCCCTGCATCGTGGTGAGTGCGGGCCCGCGGCGGGGAAGCGGCGCTCCCGATGCCGCCGCGTCTCCGGGCCCGGCCGCGCGGAGCGGGGTGCCGCGGGGCGGGATGGGTCGCTCCGGGCCTCGGCTCCGCGCGCGGGGCGGGCGGTGCGGAGTCACCTTGAGGAGCTCGGCCCGCCGCCGCCCGCAGGAACGGGCCGGGCCGCCGTGTGCGCGGAGCCGCTCCCCGCGCCGTGTCGCCCCGCCGGCCGTGCTCGCGGCGGCGTCTCCCGAAGGAGAGATGGTCGGAAACGCCGGATCCGCAGCTCCAGAACCGCCCCGAAATAACTTCCTTTCGCGCTGCCCGGCGCGGCGCTGCTTCCTATTCCTGTCGCTTCTCCTCGCGCGCTGAGGTGCCGCTCCGTGCGGCCGAACCCCGCGCTGCTGGCGGCGCCCGGCCCCGCAGGAGGAAACCTCGGCGTGCCTCGGAGCCTCGGCTTCGTTTTGTGCGTGAGAGCCTCCACCTGTGGGACCGGAAAGCGGAGCGGTTACGAAGCACGCCGTCATTGTCCGCTTGCGGCTGGCTTAAAGCTCGTGCCGCTCTGATGGTGTGCCCCCAGCCGCAGCACTGGGCGTGTAATCATATGCGTGTATGAATCCCTCGGCCTAATTAATACACGCGTACCCGCGTTGCGGGCTGTGCCGTGCAGGGGATGTGCCCGCAGCTATGAAGTAGTAGAGCTTTGATTTCTGCTTCGGGATCTCAGAGCACTGTGATCCCCAGCCCTTGTTTTGCCCCCTTCCCGTAGCCGTCCCCCACCGACGGCCGGCTGTGAGCTCTGCTGTGATGTGGATGCCCACGTTCCGAGGCCTCCCCGCTTAGTTGCCAGTACAGGTTTTGCGTTACACCGCTAAAATCCGAGGTGTCAAAAAGCTGCTTGTTTTTTTTTTTCAATGAAATAAGATCAGGCAGGATGTAGGACTTCCATTTTTCTGCAGTGTTTCAGACAATTCCTGCAGGCTGACGCTTTCTGCTGTGTTCACCGTGACTAATGCTTCTGTAGAGGAAAAAAATCAGGTGATCCCAATGAGTGTAACGTGTTGGATAAAGCAGAAGATCTGCACTTTCTCACTGCAGGCTTTCTATAACTCTTGGTAGAAATCTCACCTGATTTCCTTTTCAGATTGGCGATGATGAACAAGGTTACGACCTGGACTTGTTCTGCATACCAAAACATTATGCGGATGATCTGGAGAAAGTCTATATTCCTCATGGGCTCATCATGGACAGGTTTGTTTGCCTTCAGACACTGCACTGGTTCCATGGCACTGCCACTGATAGCTTGCTGCCTGGTGACAGTCTAAATAGACTATATTTAATCAGAGACTAAGTAGTACATGTGTTCATTCGCTGTTCCTTGTTTGGCTTCTAAGAATTTGTGCTTTTGCAGTTACACAATTGTTTGGAAATTTGTTGTAATCCTCAAAAGAAACAGGGAGGTATGTAGCAACCTGCGACGTCTTCACAGAGTTTCTTTGATGTTTTACCTTCTTAAAACCTACTGAGAGCACATTACCTGTTGTGCTAGTTCAATCTGAAATGATTAGAGTCTCCTGAACTTCCCTAGGATATTAACAACCATAAGTTCTTAATCACACCATTGTAGACTTTGCTGTGTTGCTGTGATAGATAAGCAATATCCAGCATCCCCTGCTTGCTGGGGGGTCCAACCTTGTCACCTGTGGTTGCTGAAATCTGCGGGTGCTCTGCAGGTTTTATCTCATGCTGTCAAGGATGGGTCCATGAGGACATAAGATCTTGTTTTATTTCCCTTTGTGATGCTTGCCTAGCTCCTGTTAGAATGAGCAGCAAATTCAGAGCGGTTCTGAGTAGATCTCTGACAGGCCTTAAGAATAGGAATGCTTCTGGATTGTGTGTAGTGCTAATCAATTAGATTAAACTAATCCTAAACTAAACTAATGTAGTTCCTATAAAATGTTTTGTTTCTTTAAATCATAAATGCTGTAATAACTTTGCAATGGAAGACCATATATAGGAAAAGATTGGACCGAGTACACATCATTGAGTAATGGAAGTAAAGTTTATAGTGGTGGGCATTCCCTGAGTAACCTGCTGCTGCTCTGTAAATGTGTACCATGCTTTCTAAGATAAACAGCAGTACAAATTTAGAAACAATGATTGCAAAAAACAGGTCAGTGTTCTCTTGCTCTGCCTTGTTGTTGTTGTACTTTGCAGTTGGGACAGATTTGCAGCTTGGCAAAATATAAAGCTGTTATTTACAGTTAGAGAGTTCTGCTCATTGGTCAGTGAGGGCTGCTGTCTGTATGTATTGATTTGTTTTGCTCTTTGCATGGAAGTTGAACCTATGTTTGAAAGGGGAAACCTTTATGTGGTTTATCTGCCAGAGGAACAGTTTCGGAGTGTTAAGATTTGCTTTGGCTGAGCATGAAGTATGAAAACAGAGGAGTTTGGCAGCGTTACTGTTTGATTAACCTTGAAAAGCAAAACTGGGTTGGCCAGTAGTGTGTAAAAGTGGCTGAAGTGGTAGGCAAACATTTCTAAGCAAAATCCATTTCTGAGTTTGCATGTGTTTGCTGCTGTTGTTTGCAAGACAAAATACTGCGAGGGTAAGCAAATAGAATGTGTTATGACAGCTAACTCTTGTGTTGTTTTTTTTTATAGGACAGAGAGACTGGCACGTGAAATTATGAAGGGCATGGGAGGACACCACATTGTAGCTCTCTGTGTACTGAAGGGCGGCTATAAATTTTTTGCTGATTTGTTAGACTACATCAAAGCACTGAACAGAAACAGTGACAAATCAATCCCCATGACTGTGGACTTCATTAGGTTGAAGAGTTACTGTGTAAGTATATCTGCAGTACTCTGCTATTTTTGTATAAACTAACTTCTAGTTAACCACACAGTTCCGTATTGTCACTAGATACTGTGAAAACTGCCTAGATGTGCTCATGTCGTATAAAAAAAATGAGAGAATTAAGAGGGGAAAAGCGGTAGTCTCAAGTTAACTTGTTCTTTGCCTATCTTATATAGTCTGTTTGCTTTTAGTCTTTACATCCTCAGTTCAGTAAAGTCCTCATTTAGAGCAAAGAGACCTTTGCTGTGTCCTTTATACGTTCAAGAATTTCCTCTCTTCTCTTCCACATCTCTAATGCTGTGAATAATACAGAGGAGAGTCCTGCAAATATTGTGACAAAAAAAAGAATTCCAGAAATGTTGATGTGGCTCAGACATCATTCACTGGTTTGAAAGATTGGGAAACTGCAAACATGGCTGTACCTGAATTCCCTTTATCATCTTTTGTTTTGCTCAACTGAACAGTGAACAAATTAATTATGTTTGGCCATAAGGAAATACTAGATTCCTACACATAGATTTATGGTTAGTGGCCACAGACTATGGTGCTACCTCACAGTAACTGTGTGCAGGTTGCCTTGGCTTCGTGATCTTTAAGGCCTTTTCCAACCTGAGCAGTTCTATGATTCTATTTGACTCTGTGGGAAAATGGAGCATGAGATAATGGGTAATTTTTTGATAGAGGAAGTATGAGATTTTGTTGTGAGGTCAGAGGAAGAGGCGGATGTCTGCACTCTCTGTTTGCTGGCTTAGCAGCTGAGTCTTGTGTTTTCTTGATAGTGTTTGAGGGTATTTTTGAGGTCGTCCATCAGACCACCTGTAGCATGGAAACAGTTAATGCTTTTTTAAATTCACTTTGTGGTGCCAAAAAAAATTGTTTCCAAAGGTTGTGCTGTGAGTCTCAGCACCGTTGTATTCAGGTCAGCAGTGTGAGCTGTTGTCACAGTCACAGAGCATTGCCTGCTCGAGTAGAAAAAACAGAGGTTGCTAAATTAGAAACTCAGCTTCATCATTCATCTCATTAAACCATCCCCACATAGCTGGGAAGCTCTCTGCACGTGGCAGCAGCTGCATGGTGCTCCCTTTCTGCTCCCTGCAGAAGGTTCTGGCTCCCTCTGCCCATCCTAAACAGCCACCATGTGTCCACACAGCGCCTGTCAGCAAGCTGGATGGTTCTATTGCAGGGCAACGCTGGGCACCATAGGAAATGATGAGTCCCACCTTTGTTGGCAAGGGAATTTCTACCTTCTGCTTTCTTCAAGGGACATATCCAGTAACTTATTTGATGTATTTAAAAACAATATGAAGACCACCCCACCCTTCTGCTCTCTCCACTTCCTAAATAACTTGGAACAAACTGTTGGAAAAATGTTGTGAAACACCTGAAAAAAAAATCATGTTGAAAAGCCAGTCTTGTTCCACAGTAAGCTTTCTTTGTTCAGCTTTGTGCATTGGGCAGTGCTTTGATGCTGCTGCTTTTGTTTATTGTCACCCGTAACGATGGCGCCTTGATTCTGATCAGGAAATAAGCAGCAAAATAAGTAATGGAAATTATAAGCCTGTTTTTGGTAGCAGAAGGGATTAAATGAAGAGAAAGGAGAGAAATGTGCACAGAAAGCTGTCTAAGCAGAATGTTTTGCTCTAGGTGTTGGCTTCAGGATTTTGGTTTTGTCAGCCAGTTCTATAGAGGAAAGTTTTCCTCTTGTAGAGGAGGAGCTGCAGTTACCTGATGCCTCCCCCAAGGTGGTATTTATGAGCATTTCATTGCTGTTGACTCTCTTAGGTGGTTATTAATATCCAGACTTGTATTCTTTAGATTGCACAGCTTGATAGACTGGGTGAGAGTGTCCTAACACTCTCACCCTCTGTTGCTGACTGACCAGGTTTTCCATTATTGATAGTCCTGCAGTGCTGGATTGGCTCCATCATTTCTATTCGTGCTTTACTAAATGAAGGACTTGGCATTCTCAGGGATGAGAAAACCTTCACAAACCGTAGCAGGCAGCTAGAAGTGGAGCTCTCCTGTCATTGCCTTGGGATGCAATTGCTTGGTTGTGCTGCCTGCCTTGCCAGGCCGGGTGTGTGATGTTAAAAATACCACAACTGCTCAAATAAAGCAGCCCAACTCGTATCATGGTTCTAAAATCAATGCAATTGATGTGCTATTCTTATTTGAAAGCCATCTTTTAATATTTGCAAGCTTGTGGGTTATTTGTTTCATAAAGCAAAGTTCCTGGTGTGACAGCACCCAGAAATAATTCTCAAAGGATATGGAGATAATCATGCTGTGATTAACCGTTGCTTCTGACTCCTGCTTTCAAAGTGCTTACAAGTGGATGGTAATGATCTGGCAAGCTGCAAAGAAATGGAGAGACAATGTTTGTGATCAGAACTGGATTGCTGTGTTCTTGACAAGCAGTTTGTTTGGTTTGTGCAAAAAGCATGGCATTTCAGCAGCCTCCTGTGTTTAGAGGTGGGCTGAAGTCGCTGATGTGGAGTCAGGAAGGGCAGCCAGAAGTCAGCAGGTGTGCTGCACATCACTGGGGAAGGTGGGGCTTTTTGGTGGAGCACAACACCACTGAGGTTGAACCTCACTGGGCTGATGGAGGCAGCGCTCTGAAAGGTCTCATGCTGCCCAAGCCTCATAGCAAACAGCGTGAGGAACTTCAGTGCTTTTACAAAAGGTGATGGCTGAGTCACTGGTAAGGAGTTCTGATCTTGCAGTTCAGTGTTGCTTTTATTTTCCAGCAGTGACAATGAAGTCGCAGTGAAAACAGATCTAACCAGCAAATCTCTTCTGTGCTAAGCCACAGAGCATTAAAGTCTTACCAGTACTGAAATCCGAAATAATAGGCCTGAAGATAATTAAAACATCACTTAATTATTAAACAAAGTTCGTTCCAGTGGAAAGCTGGTTAGAACCAGCATTGGAAATTCGTTAACCTTTTTTTTTTATCCTTTAATTGCTCTGGAGCTCAGTGCCTGCATAGGAATGCAGGTAAATATGTCATTAATGATTTGTGATTTGTGTTCAAGTGTAGCAATTTGTATGGCTCTTGGTGGGAAGGAGGAGGAAAGTTGCTGTCAGTCAGATCATTCTCTGCTGGTCTTTACATTTGAACATGCACAATCCAGAGGTTTACAGTGTTCTGCAGAGTTCTGTGGTGCTCTCCTTTGATTGTAGTGTGTTGCTTTGAAGCCGGGGAGGTGACCAGGAAACTCGTCTTAATGTGTGTGCCGAGTGCTGGGCTATCATGTGTGCCCCTCACTAATGGAACAAATATCTGCAGCATCTTTCTGCATCTTTCTTTCATAAGGAACGATGCTTCCATGGAACAATGATCAACTCCCTGTTAGCGCAGGAATAGGTAAGAGAGAATCCTGCAACATGAGGAAGAGCTCAAAGAAGCTGTCACTTCAGAGAACTGTAAGATGGGGTGAAGGCAGGAGCTGCCCCTCAGCATAATGAATGCAGAGCTTCACTGAGTTGCATTCTTCTGGTTTGTCTAAGCAGTGTCTCAGGCACCCAGCAGCATTCTGCGTGTCCGCTGGGATGATTTGGGCATCCTGTTGTTGGACTATTTCAGCACAGCACTATAATGTTATATTATTTGTGTTGTTCAGTTTGGTTCTGTTCTGCTGCGATGGAAGTGCTGGAGCAGCCAAATATTTTCATCCAATGGAGCAGTATGACTCTAACAGCTGTTATCTTTAAAACATACAGTTAAAACTGTAAAGATGCTTTTCCTAATAGTTGGCTTGCGGGTGAGGATGTTCAGTATTGTGCTGTAGGAGTGATACACAGGAAGTATTTCCAGGTTTAACCATCTGCTTTTACATCCCCCCAAGCTGTCAGCACTTTGTTATCCGAGAGCACTGACATCACTGCCCAAAGGATTTCAATGCTTATTCTCTTTACTGTAATCCCTGTGTTACACACTGTACAGTCAGTGTCTGCGTCTCCCTAAATCATTTGGTTCCTTTCTTTTTTTTTTGTGATAACACTTTCAGGTTTTCTCTGCAATTCATACAGGTGAATACCTGTCCTTGAATACCTATCTGTGTAAGCAGGAGGTTGTATGTGGCCATTTCTTTCCTTCTATATCTACTATTTCTGGTTTTAGGGAAGGAACTGATCATGCAGCAAGCTTAGGCTTTGATACAGGGCAGCAAAATAAGAAAGGCTTTCTTTCTAAAGGGAAGATACGTGGTAAGGAGCTGTGAGAAGACAGTTTGACAAGAGATATAAACTTTCATAGAATCACAAACGTTGGAAAAGACCTAAAAGATCACCCAGTCCAACCGTTCACCTATTCCCAACAGCTCCCACTAAACCATGTCCCTCAACACAACATCCAGCCTTTCCTTGAACACCCCCAGGCTCGGTGACTCCACCACCTCCCTGGGCATCCATTGCAGTGCCTGACCACCCTTTCTGAAAAGTAATACTTCCTCATGTCCAGCCTGAATCTCCCCTGTCGTAGCTTGAAGCCATTCCCTCTGGTCCTAAAAGATCAAATGGTTAAACTGTAGGATAATGGCATCACGGGTAAGTAGTGCAGCAGTGAGCTTATCACATCTGATGTGAGGCACTGCTGAGCTTTGAAGTCAGCTTTAATAAATGTCAGAGGTCTGAGGTGCTCCTCGTCATTGTTTTTCACTTTCTCTGTGTAACAGCTCCTTGAGGACTGTGTCAAAGCCCAGTTCTGCTGAAACAGCACTATTGTAGTGGTAGCATTGGGAACCTGTGTTGCAGCTTAATTTCTACAACAAATTATTAGATCATTATTACCCTTTGTTGTAAAATAGGCAGTCATGCTTCCCTGGCTGTTTTGTAGCTTATTTTTCTTATTCTTACTTGTAATTGCTAAGTGAATAGATGCTACTGGTAGCATTAATACTGGTTCATTATGTACTTTGCAGTTGTGGTATTTATTGGAAGAAAGATGACTTCAATTCTGGTAATGCTAATGCTCTCCCTTCTCTTTCCTATTAGAATGATCAGTCAACTGGAGATATAAAAGTCATTGGTGGGGATGATCTCTCAACCTTGACTGGAAAGGTATGGTTCTTCGTGTGTTTACAGAAACCAAAAAGGAAACAACTCCAAAGAACCCAGGCAATGGTGTGCTTTCTCAACATGTAGGGATAATAGAGTTTTTTCAAGGGAAATGGGTATGTTTCATTTTAAGTAGCCACTGCTGTAATTTCGTGACATGCATAGGCCCCACCAGAGCCATTGGTTTAGTTTTAACTTAAAAGTAAGTGTATATTTATTCAGTGTCTGCAGTATGAGCCATATTCAGGGTATTTGTTTCTCTGTGTTCCCTGAGAAGAGCAGTCTTGTCAGGGTTGTTGTCTTTAAGCTTCCTTTAGAAGAGTGTGGCATTATTTATTTACTGTGCTGATGTTTCAGTGTGGTAGTGAAGGGAGCTCACCCTGCCTAGGCACGTAACTTGCTGGGTTAGGAGCTGAGGGTCCTGTTACAGGTTACAAAGAGAGAGGGAAATGCACAGAATGTCAGCTGGGAGTCTGCTTTTCTTCAGTGGCTGTACAGAGGTCGTTGAGCTGGGTATCTGTGAGCAAAATGCTGCTGCCTCCTGTTCATTGCTTTCCCCTTTTGATTACATATAAGCAGTCTTTAAAAAATTGTGATGCATTTCAGTGTGAAGGCCTGAGGTGTGACAAAACTGCTTGGCTTTATAGCACGACACTGCATGATGAGAATTTAAAGACCTGGCATGAGATACTGAGGCTGATTGCCACTTCAGCATCAGAAATGTGAGCTAAGTAGGATCCACTGTTACATGGCCAGACATGCATAAATCATGGTACAAATATTTAACTGCATTAAAAATGAAATTAAAAAGTTGTAGGATATATTAGAAATTGTGTATTCTTTAAATACTAATGGATTCTTATCTTTTTTTTTCTTTCCAACAGAATGTTTTAATTGTAGAAGTAAGTATTGTGTTTTACTTCAGAGTTTTCTGTGATTCTGTCAGTTCTTACTTGTCATGATTTATTATGACTTTTTAAAATTCTTATTAAAAAGTGACCTGAGCAAAGTGAAATTAAGCACATTAGTGTTTTGGCAAGCTAGGAAGTTAAACTGAAGAGCAGAAGGAAGTTCCTGGTAGGAATATCCAAAAATAGTGAAAAAACAAAGAAGCCCAGCCCTGTGTATGATTTGTTTAGAGAACAGAGACATGGAGAATGCTGATTTCTAATCAGCATTTTGCTGTTGCTAATTCCCATACCTCTGTCTCGTTGCTGTTCTTGGGATGATACTGGCAACACTACCTATAGCTGAGTGTGATTTCCTGGGAGGTCCTGTTGCTTCGCTCTGGCTTTCACACCTCTCTGTTGTTGGACAGCATTGCTTATGTTCAGAGGATGCCCTTGAGTAAGATGGCTGATTGCAGGATGGGGAAGCAGAAGCACTAGACAGGAAAAATGAATGTGCAGTGTAACAATGTTTTTAGGCTGCAGGTAATGGAGTGGCTTTGTTGATAAGCACAGGAACAGCAGTGGCAACCAGTTCAGCAACCAAAGAGAAAGCTCTTCCCTTCTGTCATATTATTCCACAGGAAGCATGTTCAGTTTTAAAACCAAACTAGTATGTATACAGCAGTCATCTGTGACCAGTGCTGTCCTTTGAAGAGTATTTTGCTTCAGATAGGCAGATGCATTTAATTGTGTATCTGCTCCATTTCAGATGAATGTATGCCTTTAAAGTGCCAGGCAGCTAAGTGGGTTAGTTTCTCATCTGTTCAGTGCATCACCTCTCCAGTGACATCTTATGCATTGTCAAATATAAGCCCTTTGACCAACCACCATTGTTGCAGTTAAACAGTATCTTCTGCACAGAGCACTAAGATGTTCCATACAGCATCCTTTCATGTGCAAAAAAACCCCCATGAAATGGAGATTTGCTTCCAAAAACCAGATAATCAAACAACACAAAATCACTAAAACTTTTATTTTGACTTGAGAGCACAGAAGTGGTTGCTTTTGTTTATATGTCAGCTTTTATCCATGTATATCTGTCTTTTTCTTGAGTTGATAACCATGAGTAAAAGCCTTAAGTGTTGAAGGTGGTATAGCTGACAGGTGCTCTGTTGACACTGATGTGTTTATTGATGTATTTTATTTGAGAGTCCTGAGAAAATAAGCAGAAATCAGGAGATGATAGAGTAAGCATTGCTACTTCTGTGTTATCTGCCTCTTCACTTCAAATAAACCTCCAAGTTCCAGCCAGGGTGAGGGCTGTCCCTCTGGACATCCTGTGATCTGTCAGTCCAAATAGAATATCCATTTCTGGTGCTTCAGTTGTGAGTCATAGACTCTTTTTTTCTCTGCTTATCTATGTAGTAAGTGGAATTAAAGTGATGCATCAAACTTCAGTTTAGTGTATCCAAATAGAAACTGTCAAACTGCACCCAGGTATTACCAGTACAGTTTCTTTCTTTATTTCTAAAATCTGTAATGTAAATTGCACTCCTCTTTTTTTATCTTTTTTTAATTACATTAATGAGTTGTGACTGTTTTCCCTTCTTATGTTCCTTTTCTTTCTGTTGTATGCAAGCGTCTCTGAGCTCAGCTGCAAGATGGATGCTATGCTTACAGTGTGAGAATTAGACATTGTTTGTCTGATTGCTGCAAGGAACACGAGCCATAAGATCTGCCAGAGGCGCCAGGAAGGTCACAGTTCATGCTTGTGAAGTATTTGTCCATAAGAATTAAGAGCCATTGTGAACTGCTGTGATCTCTTTCCTGAGCGCCGTGCCTTGAGCACAGCGTGGCGCTCCATCTCCCTCACAGCACATGGTGAACAGTATTGCTACAGTGTGTGTTCCTGTTGCTGCAGATGAGCAATTCCTGCATTAAAAACTCAAAGTGCTGCTTTGACAGGTTTCATACTCGCTCTCACGTGGCGTTTTGATTTTCAGGACATCATTGATACTGGGAAAACAATGAAAACGTTGCTGTCTCTACTAAAGCAGTACAATCCAAAGATGGTGAAGGTGGCCAGGTAAGCTTCTAATTGTGGTTATTTGTGCTGTATTTCACCTTCAGACTGAGCACAGTGTAAAAAGAGGTAATGTAGATTACATTCCCATAAAACACAAACAGCAAGGAGCACTTCTTCAGAAATGGTATGTGATACACTTTGCTTGTTGTGACAAGGCAGAAACACCATTCTCTCCAATCCTATTGCTTAAAACCCTTCTGTCTCAGGAAGGGATAGCTTGTGCGTGTCTGGGACATGTATTGCTCCTTGATGTCTGGGAATGGGGGTTTCACTGCTGTCTAAATTGGGTTTAGAATGGAAGAACGAAAATTTTTGAGCTTAAAGAAATCACCCCCTAGCGATGGCAGAAGGATTTTCAACATGAATAGAGTTCATAAATACAGACTTTTAATGGAGATTAGGATTTAAAAAAATAAGTGGTTATCTCCATGTGTCAGTGTCTATCTGAGCATATTTCTGTTTGCACTGTTTGCAGTTTCAGTATATTTCAGTGGTGTATCTGTGCAGTGAAGACCTTTTTTTGGTCTGGTGCCTGTAATTGTAGAATTAAATTAGTTTGCATGCTGACATTACTGTTTGTGTAGGGTGTGTAGTGTAGCTGAGCTTTAGAGGTCACTCTGTGAGAGTCACCCAGCCATATGCTCTTCCAGGCTTTTCTACTTAGTTGCATCTTTAATCAATTAGTTTTGATACATTTTCTAATTGAATAATTTAAATTTAATAAGGAATGTTGTGGGTAATAATAACAGCTAATATCAGCATTCCTCCTACATCTTTTTAAATGGCATCTTTTATACTCCTATGCTACAGTTGTGTATTTTGCAATAAAAGCATAATGAGTGCTGGGGATTAGAGATAAACCAGAGCTGTGTGTAATATCTAATCAGTTGTGTTGCCATAACGATGTTGAAGCAGTTGTTAGATGTACTAGAACAGCTCTTCATGCTGATAATCCAGAGGTGACCTGCTGAAGGTGAGCTTTTTCTTCCTGGCCTGGTTAAATGTACCAAATGTTAAGCAATTGTTGCTGCTCAGTACCTTAGTACTGCAGTCAGTACACATGGTGAGTATGAAACAGCATCAGCCAAGTCCAGTTCCGTGTTGTTTAAACCTGTTGCAGTGGGCTGGGTCTTCAAAGGCTGAGCACGGGTAGTCTCAAGTGTGGTGTTCTTAGTTGGTTCACGTGCCTTTCTTTTCTTGTTTTCTTTCTCTCTGACAATTAATCGATTGCAGCAGGGAAATGTGAATTAATGCTAACACTAATTGGGGTTTGTTTGACCAAGGCCTACACAATACTCAAGAGTTAAGCCTGGAGAAGTTTCAGAAACAGAATGTCTAGAATTGAAACCGTGGATGTGACAAATGAAGTCTCACCTTCAGAGGTGATCCAGGAAGGGAGGAGGTCTGCAAATACAGAGTTATGTTGCTCTGTCTGTGCATTCGGCCATCACCCACCTTTTCCTTTCCTCCCAAAGTCTCTCTCTCTCTGATACAAACAAATGTCAGGATGGTGGAGTTGTCTTCTGAAAGGTAGATGTGCTCAACTGAATAAAGAGCGAGTCAAACTGAACTAGTGAGGCATCTCTATCTGCTGCAGTACCCCAGCTCTGTATCTTCTATCTTCCTGTTTCTTACACGTCTGACATTTAATTCTGGGAAAGTGGAACTGGTTTGTATCAGCTGAGCATCAAGACCTGTTAACCTTTTCTTTATAGGGGTAATTAGTATTACCAGTGAAAAACAATTGAGGACACGTTGTGCAATTGAGGTGGTATTAAACCAACTGATTTTGCTTCGTAATGCTGATAATCCAGCTGGTTTGGCTGGATCCCATCTCTTCACCTCTTCACCTGTGAGCTCAAGTGTTTGCACCTGAAATTTCTTAACACACAGAAAGCCTCACTAAGTCACTTTTGGCAACAAAAATCCATACAGATTAAGATCTCCCAGCCTCTTTCTTGCAGACTTTATAGTTATCCTTTAAGCTGCAAACCTTTAGTGATTCTACAAAGTTTTGAGTTTATCATTGAGATCAGCTGCACCTGCAAAGGAAAAATGTTTAAAATCTTTATGGCTGTGCTTTCAATTCCACACGTTGAGGCTCACTGAAGTGAAATCCAGGCTGACTTCATCACAATTTCCTGTAGTCCTACATGGTGCATTGCCGTGTTTCAATTTTACTTTGATTTTATTTGACAGTTTGTTGGTCAAAAGAACTCCTCGAAGTGTGGGATATCGGCCAGACTGTAAGTAACTCTGACAACCACTGCTCATTTTTAAACATACGTTGATGTTTTGTGCCACAGTCCACGGGTCTTCCAGATAGTTTTCATGAACGGTTTTTGATTGATTTTAAAAGAAAACAAAAACAAACAAACAAACAAAAACAACCAAAGAAGAGCAACAACTTGAGTTTAAGTATTTGCAATTAGTTTACTATATGAAATGAAGACTTAGATATTTTGGTCCGTGTGAATCCACTTTCATTTGCAAATTCTCCATGCTTAGAAGCAGTCAAGACTTTGGTCAGCTAAACCTGCTGACTCACCTTTGGCACTTTGGGGAGTGTTTCAGGTGCCTAAATGAAGCCACCCAGTGCCATTTGGAAGCTCCTTAGGGAGGGATGTGTGTTTTATCCCCATTCCTGAAGCCAAATTCTTGTTAATGTGGATTGTGCACTCTCACAATGGAAGTGGAGTGAATTCAGCCACAGGATCACGTCCTCTTCCTTCTCCTTTCCAAGACTGTACAGTGCTGATGGAAGCCTCATTCACATGTTCCTTAGGTTGTCTTACAGGCTGTGCAGTTGGACGGATGCTGCCCAACTGTCCAAGGGCTGTCTTGCTAGAGCCATGCCCGTTAGGGATCAAAAAATAAACCTATTTAATTTCGTTTTAGTTGAATTCAATCAACAAAAAATGTCAGAAGTTTAAAATAACGTGAGTATGAAGCTGAGGATACTTGAGTGGAAGAAATGAAATGTTAAGCAGCTTATGTGTGGATAAAATTCCAAGTTGTGTGCGTGAAAAGGTCTAGTGAACTCGAGGAAATTCCTTTCTAACATACTGGTGACTTATGTTCTTTTTTAGTTGTTGGATTTGAAGTGCCAGACAAATTTGTTGTGGGATACGCCCTCGATTACAATGAATACTTCAGAGATTTGAATGTAAGTAATTTTTCCCATATGTTTTTGTCCATTTAAAACAAGGAAGGAGGAAGGAAGGGAAGTCTCCTTACATTGCTCTCCCTCCTCTGTGTAAATCACAGCTAGGTGCAAGGTTACTCCATCAGTGATGAGGGCAAGCCTTAGAGCAGCACAGCAGTGTTAGGAGCTCTGGTAGAACTAACATTGACTTTGCTTCACACAGAACAGAGGAGGCAGTTTGTGTGCAGTTTCTTATCATACCAGATATCTACATTAAATTTGCTTAGTTCCATAAAAATAAAGAGGGGAGACCTCGAAAGCCTTTTTGTACTAAGACACAAATTCTTCACCTGGGTCTTACATGTCCTTATAATGGACACTGGGGGGGGAGAGGAAGAAGGAAGGCAACGCTGAGGTTTGTAGCCAAAAACAGGCTGAAGTTTTTCTGCACAAGCAGTGTCAGAACACTCTTCAGGGCTGACACTTGTATGGCATGCTTTCATTTCTTTCAGAAGAGCAGTACTGACTGTGCCTGAACATCAGCTTCTTACATTCCGTCTCTAACTGGAGGTTTCAATGTTTTGTTTCAGCATATCTGTGTGATCAGTGAGACGGGGAAGCAGAAGTACAAAGCATGAAAGCACGGTTGAAGTGCTCTGACTACAAAGCTTTGAAATGTCTTGTTTACCAAGTCCTATCTCTCACTGGCTTCAACTCTGGTACACCAGCTGAAATTGTAGAACGCCCCGTCGTCATACGCTTACTGTAACTTATTGCATGTACAATATCAGAATCTCATCTTGTTCATTTATATTATAGAAATGTAAACAACCAGTGCAGTTCTGCACTCCTTATTTTGATTTGCACTATGACTCTACCGACTATTGCTGCCCCTGGTTGGGTTGTGCTGTTTGTGAGCTCCAGAGTCTAACTCTTGCAGTGGTAAATTGCTTAAACCTCATCAACCCAGAACTGAAATAGTTCGAGTACTGTAAATGTAAAACATTTTATGATAGGGAAGTCTATTAGTAATATTTTTAAAAAGCTGTAATTTAAGTTTTATATTTTAATTCACAAATGTGATTGTGATTAAAGGATAGTTGCACCTTTGGGTGTTATGGAACACGAGAAGCAGCCAGTTACAGTATCTGTAATCTCCAGGGAGCCACTGACGCCTCCTGGAGTTGCCTTATTGCTGTAAAAAGGAGTCTGGGTGAAAAACAATGTCTTCTTTTTTTTTTCTTTTTTTGAGATGGAATGACAGAATGTTTGAAGTCTAGTTTTAGTTGAGCTGCCTGTTTCTTTCAGGTTTTTTTTTTTCTTTAAAAATATCCATCAGACAGTGAAATTGCCTTTTAAATTTAAACAGTTTTAATATATTTGTGGGAAAAAAAGAAGAAAAAGTATTGTAATGTTTACTTTCTAAGAACTACAAAGCAAAGTACTTTAAATAAAGGCTCTCTCTTTAAAATACCCCCCACACATCTATGCCACTCACTGTGTACATTGAGGTACTCTCGAGATTCTCTTCTCAGCAGCGTATTTCATCAGTGCTTCTGGCAGTGAAGGCAGGCTCCACGTTTGTTACCTCTGCAGAGCTTTCTGTCAGTGCAGTGCTGTCTATGGGAGATGATGAAGGCCTGAGGGAAAGCTTTAGGAAGGCTGGCATATGCTGTAACCAAACTGGATTTCAGAGAGAACGTTCTGAGTGCTGTCCCTTCTCCTGTTTTGGCAACAGTGAAGAGTGACAGATATTCCTTCATTAAACACGTATCAGGGAGAGAGAACCCAGCCAATTTGTAAGTACCTGCTTTTATTCACATCTTGTGTTGTTGTAATGCTAACCATGGCAGTGCACACCTTTCCTTCTGCTGTGCTGCTCTGTCCTTTGCTTATGCAGTTGGTGTGCTTGCACATGGACTCTCTGTGTGCTGGGATTTGGTGCTGGCAGTGCTTGGTACATAATGAAGCATTTGTCATCTGTTCTGCAAGGTGTTTCCTGGTTTTTGAGTAGTATTTTTTACATTCCAAGCACCTTGCAGCACTGTCTGCCCTTGGTGTGTTCAGTTGCAACCGTGGCACTTAATGGCAGCCCTAAAACGTGAGTAACTTACACCATGTAATTGTGTAATGATCAGTGTGCTGGAGATCTAGTTGCAAATCAGTAAGAAAAATAACACTGCTCACAATTGTAATTTACTTTTGTTCATGTTATGGTTAATGTTCCAAAGAGCTTTTCTAATGGCACTATATAGGCTGATTCCATTTCTGAATGTGTGCGTATGGAGAACTGTGCTGTGCTCAGGACTTCCTTTCAGCAGGTGGTGCTTGGCTGAGGAGAGGAAGCACAAAAAGCAACACAGAAAACTACAAATCCTCTTTAGAATTATGACATCCATTTGAGTTTTCATTGGAATGAAGGCCTCATTACAGAAAGCAATGTTCTCTCCAACCTCTGCATAGTTCCTGCATCACTGCGTTCTGGAATAATTGATGGCATCTGGATATTGCACTCAAAAGGGGGTGTAGAAGTACATGAAACACAATGAAACAGTGAGACTTGCTCATATCTTTTAGGACTAAACCCTGACACGAGTTTTTGCTCTGCAGTGTTTTCCTGCCTTGGTGTAGGATGTTACTCAAATGCTGTGATGTGAGAGGCTGGAGAGGATGGGTGTCACAACAGGGGGTTTGTTGGAGCAAGGAAAGGGTGCTGGAGCTGTGCAGCCTGGGGGGCTGGCCTTGCAGAAGAGCAGTTAAAGTATTATGAAAGCACTGAGAAAATCTTGCTTTAAACTCGCAGTGATCTGGATCACAGGTGCTCCAGGCTGAGCTTGGAGGGGTGATAGAAAGCTTGTATGATAATTGTGCTGGTGGTTCCTTTTGGGGGGTAGTTTTGTGTTAAAGAGAAGTCCTGGATTAGAGAATTTAAAGCAAGGGTCTGTGCAGCCTTAAATTACTCACTAGTAGCTGCAGGAGCTGCTGTTGTGCAGGGAATGGCACTGCTGCTCAGGGCAGTTGTGGTTCAAGACACCCCCACCTCTACCTGTGACCCTCCCTGGGCATTCTGCAGGCAGGAAGCAGTCCCACACCACCTCTTTGTGCCCCTGTGCCTTTGTGGTCTGCAACACAGCAAGTCTGGTTTCAGACTCTCTGCCTCTGCACATAAAATGATGATGCAAAATTTTTAAAGCATTAAAAAAAAAAACAACAAAAAACTGATGTAAAACTTGCAAGATTAAGAATAGAAACGCAGAAGTGCTCACCTTCTGTGCTGCTGGGCCACAGCTGAGCCACGAAGCAGCGAGGGGACATTTCCCCACCACCCTCCTGCCCCACAACTAGACTGGGATTCAGTAATTGCAGGAAACAGTTGAAAACCCACTGCTGTGGGACAGCCAGCCACCAGAACCCCCAGCACAGCATAGGACTGGGGCTGCCAGTGAGGCACCATCACCTGCAAGACGCGTGGACTCACTGCTGCTGCAGAGGATGGATGTCCCCTGATGTCCCAGTAGTGCAGTGCAGCCCCAAGGGAAGCAGCCTTCAGCCCACAGGTGCCCCTTTGCTGCCACCAGAACTGGGTAGTTCAGCATGGGAGATGCTAAGGGCAGAGCACTTGCTTCTTACCCTACCTCCAGCTCCCACCACCTCCCCAGAACCTCATTTCCCACCCAGGATGCTGGGGAAGGGCTCGGTCTCCCCATGCCAGAGTCCTGACCCCATTAATGACACCAGGCCCTCGTTACTCACTGTGATTTATTGGTGCTGAGATAGGTTCCCCCCCCACCCCCTGCAGCACAGAACCCCCAGGTGCCAGGGACTGATTTCCAGCCTCACTAAAGCAGCAATGCAATACTGGAGAGCAACAGGCGATCCCCCACTCCAGTATTTACGTGCTGCTAGAGCACTGCTGACAGCTCTCCAGCCCCGTGCATCTCCCCACAGCCTTCAATCCCCCCGTATCCACCCCCCAAATCAGAGGGGGCTGGGAAAAGGCTGAACGTGGAGCAATATTGCTCTGGAGGCACTGCTCCACCCGGGATGGACTCAAAGAGCACAGGAGGAGCAGAGCCCTTCCTGCACAGCCACCCCACAGACAGGTGTACCTGCACATCCCCGTGCTCCTGAGCTAAGGGCTATGGGGACACGTCAGCCTCCACCCCTATGATAACCAGAAGCTCACTTTCTTGTCTTATCCTTGAGGTAATGAGGCAGCCCAGAATGGTCTGTATCTCCTTGTCCCTACAAACCATGATGTGCTGCTACATCTCCTCAAAGCCCACTGAATGTTGGCATTCCAAATGGTATTTTGGTTATTATTATTGTTATTATTATTATTATTATTTGTAAATCATGACATAAGGCAGCGACGAACGCTCTACATGAAGACATGAACATGCATGCATTACCACCTCAGGACTTTTGTGTTGATTTGGTTTGTTTTTGTTTGGGTTTTTTTTTTGCCTTCCAGGTGCTATCAACCTGCAACTACAAAGAACAAGCAGTTACACAGTGCAAACAGACAGAAATACCCCACTCCCCAAACCCACAGTGCTGCAACATGGCACAGCTGCACCCCCAGAGCTTGTGGGGGAATGATCCACACTGCCTTTCCTTCTTCCCTTAGGGGCTGTGGTGCATCAGCTGTTGGCCAGGAATCACAGTGCCAGCAGCTGAATGCACAGCTTAGCAGGGCAAACCTCTTGTGTCCTTAAACTGCTGAAGGGAAGGAAGGAAGGGAAAAAGAAAGAAAGGAGGAAAGAAGGAAGGAAAGGAAAGGGGGAGAAGCTTTTTTTTCCTCAAGCTGACATGATGCTCATGTACCTTTAGAATGGACAAACCATCTGCAACCAGAAAATAAAGGTACTCTGACCCTCCATCATTCCCTGTGCAGAGCAGAGGCTGAGGCTGCAGCACAGAGCGCCCAGACCTGTGCAGACAGCCCGCACTTCTTTGTTTCCTCTTGACTTTTTTTCCCCCAGTTATGTGACAACTTCCTTCAATTCATTTTCCCAAAAAGCAACGTCACAGCAGCGCAGAACGATGGCAGCAGCCAGGCCTGTCCCACAGGGAGCTCAGCCCCTGTGCTGCTCTGCCCCTTTAGCAAACTGAAGAACAGGATTTCAAGAGCCCTCCCGGCCCATGCCAGCCTATTGGAAACAGCCAATTCGATATTTGCAAAAAGGAAAGAAAAAAAAAAGTATTTTTTCCATCACTTCAGTGTCCTCTGTGCTGATGGCAGCAGCTCCAGCTCTGCAAAGTGCAACTGCTGTGCTGTAAAGAGCCAACAGCCGAAGGGAAACCCACCCGGGGTGCAGCAGAGCAGCCCTGCAGTGCTTCAGCTCTGCTTCGGCAACAGCACTGCGAAGGGCTGCACATGGAGAGGATCACTGCTTCCATCTCTTCAAGCAGCTCGAGAAAACAGAATAAAATACGTTAAAAAGGCAATAGCAAACCAGCTCAGTCGTAGCATCCACTGATATAAATATATTAAGTAATGCAAAGTCCTGGTTGTAGCTGGACAAGGTGCAGGACACTGTTGCAAAGCTTTCAACACGTGCCCACCAAGCAGCTCGCAGAGAAGCTGGAAATCTGGGATAGGTGGGGAAATACATACCTGGGAGAGTGCTGTGTGCTTCTGATGGAGAATGGCTCTGAGCTCTGCGTGTCACAGCAGTGAGCTGCCCTACACTCACTGTGTAAGGTGTGGGATGGGATGCGAGTGCTGCAGGCTCCCAGCACTTACCTGCCCTCACCTGGCCGTGGGCTACAGCTCCTCCTGCCAGTGCCTCCAACCACATGGGAGCTGGAAAGCAACACAGAGAGCTGAGAAGGGTTTGGGACTTCAGTGACAATGGGTTGGGTGGGCACACAACTAAGGGAAAACACAGAGCTCCACCAAGATGCCGTTTACTGCACCAGCAGCCTTAAATATGGAGAATATTCCCCCCCCCAGAATTTGCACTGCAGGACTGGAATTGGGGGATTTGCTCCATGCAGCACCTGTGGAGTGAATTCCCCATATAATGGGAGGAACAGAACGTGCACGAATGCATGAATGCAATGCAGCTCCTCCTAGTACAGCAACTCGGGCTGTGGAGTACAGCACAGCCCCAACGCCCTGAGATAGAGCCGCCCTGAGATATGAAGGGGGGCTTGAAAACAGCAGCACCAACCAGAAATGAATAAATAAATAGGGGAAAAAGGAGAAAAGAAAGGGGAAAAAAAAATGTGAAAGAGGGGAAGGAAAGGAGAATCCCATAGAGGAGCAGCTGTGCACACTCGCCCTCCTCTACTCGCAACGATGCAGCACGGGGTGAGCTCTGCAATAAGTCAGCATTGAGCATTTCCTATATAGGTTAAGCACAGGGAAGGGATAAAACAGCACACCGACCCAACCCGGAGCTATCACAGCTCTCCCAGCAGAGCTGTCTGCGTTCCAAAGGCACAAACAACGAAAAAAAAAAAAA